ACCTTAAAAATCAAATCTACTTAAAATACCTAAAATAAAGTCAATACATGTAATTAGAAAGAATTGACTAATAAAATAACCACGATTCATTGGTTTCTTTGCTGATGTCAGTATTTTTAGTACGTCATTACAAATTATCGACGCCACCTATACCACTAGATTCAAAGAGATTCATTAAGCTGGACAAATTAACCTACGTACTTGCTATATGCTTATAGTCGTTGCTGTATAAACTACACGTAATCTAGTTTATTAAGAATTGTAAGTTGACAGGCGTATAAATGACAGGAAACGTAAAAAATAGAAGATAGTTTACAGTTTTTTTATTGATAAGATTTAAAAGTTCATAATTGAATATGTGACAGTAAGAAAAAAAATCCGCTCTAGTACATTGGGCTGCATTACTAGATACGAAATTGTTCTTACTGACATTAGTAGCGTTACCTTTACGTCACAATAAATATTACTTTTGTTATTGACGTAAGAGATCACTATAGTAAACTCTGTTATCGTAATTTTCATGATTTTCATTCAATTTTACAATCATCGAACACTCGTATTTTTGATGAATAAGATCGAAAATACTATGTCTAAATATTTCAATAGTGATATTACGTAAGTCTACCACAACATTTATTTAAAGTTCATTATTGTAACACTGTCCAGTATTGGCCTTGTCTATAAGATTGATAGTAGGAAATTGTAGTGCTAATCCAAAAGAATTGATTATACACTTGGAGTAAGTACTCCAATTATATAATTACTCTACCTAATAGAAAAAAATATTTAAACAGTTTTTAATTTTCAACAAAGTACATAAAATTTTTTAGAAATGAAAGATTTAATTAAAAATTTGTTTTCAGTTGTATTTTGTCGGCGACAATGTTCAGAAGTGGTATACAGGATTTTAGCAACGAAGACGGAGCTGGTGGATCTTCCTCGAATAATCTCAATGGCTGCACTGTTTGTAAAAGAACTTTTACTAATTCCAACGAGATTATTCACCATACATGTTTACCGACTGGTAAGATGCTTTAAAAATGCACTGTTTTGCTTTCTAAACTTGAGAAAAAATATCATTTTACAGGACGTATGCAGATTCACTCCGGCGAAAGACCTTACTCTTGTAATGAATGTCCACGAGCCTACAAAAATAAATATAATCTTACATGTCATATGCAAACTCACTATGGTGAGAGACCTCATCAATGCAACATGTGCTTCAAAACCTTTCAATACAAATGTCATCTCAGATCTCACATGCGGACTCACTCCGGAGAAAGACCTTACCGCTGCAACGTGTGTTCACAAGCCTTTAGAAAACAAAGGTATCTTACAGTTCATATGCATACTCACTCCAGCGAAAAACCTTATCACTGCAACGAGTGCTCAATGACCTTCAAACACAAGGCTAATCTTACAACTCACATGCGGACTCACACCGGCGAAACACCTTACCGCTGCAACGTGTGTTCACGAGCCTTCAGTCAAAGATCTGATCTCACAACTCACATGCGCATTCACTCTGGCGAAAGACCTTACCACTGCAACGTGTGCTTCCAAACCTACCGTACAAGTAGTTATCTCTCCAAACATAAGAAAATTCCACACACACATCGCTGCAACGTGTGTTTACAATCTTTTGTACAGATGAATCATCTTGAAAGTCACATGCGCAACCCGCATCTCTTTTACTGCGATGTTTGCCAAAAATATTTTGCTACTTCTTCTTGTCTTAAGATGCATAATCTGTACATCCATAATAACTTATAAGTAGGGAATACCCTGCTATTAGCAAATTAGGCCACAACAATGTAGTACATCGGCTTTTGACAAATATTTTTTATGATTTAATGTATAATCCATTGGATTGTTTATAATTGATACAACAATATTTATGTAGCAAAATATTTTTTAACTGTCTGTTTGAATTTACATGCACGGAAGTTGGTTCGTTATAAGTAACATCTCAAATTCTGTTAATTTTATAAGGTTTGCAGCCACAACTTGCATATTTTTTTTTGTTTAGCCTCTTACGAGCCGCAAAGAAAATTTTTTTTGTACATAATTTTTTCTAAATTTTTGTACTATTGTTATCTCATAGTCGATTAAAAATTTTGTTTGTTGCTAATAAAAAATCATACTATTTTGTCTGTCATTTCCAGTTATATTCATTTTCATGTTTATAATTGGGTTACTTAAATAATTTTTATGTCATTTTTTTTTTAAGATTGAAGTTGTTTTTAAAGAATAACTGGGCTTTGATAACGCATGAGACGATGTAAAATCTAGTGATGTTTATGACTGACTGATTATGATTTTATTTATTATTTTATTTTTATTCAAAACTGTTTAAAATAAGCTTACCATTATTTTAATTAAATGTATGTAACTATTATTAAAAGTTAATAAAAAAATTAGTATATAAATCAATAAGTTCGTGACATCTCAGAGAAACTGATAACTCCATTTTTGTGATTTTTGAGAAAAGCGGCTTTAAAGATTGTAAATCTACTTTTTTACAGCAAATTAATTGCATGTGTCTCACTGTGCGTAAAGTTAGGAACTAAGACAAGACTTAACAGTTTTACATGGGTGATTAAAAAATGCACTCAACTTCCTATCTGTTCGATGTTGGAGTTATTCCATAAGGTTGGGAAAAAAGTTTTTAACTTATTCGATTACGAAATTTTGTAAATATTCAACAAAAGGACATATCGAACTAAAAGGATACATTCCGTACCAGCTTGTTAATTAGTTGTTATTGACTAGTAGATTTTTATTACTCAAACATAGCCGTATCGTACTTCGTACAGTTCTGCCGATAAAACGATGACCCCAACGGACAGACTTGGGCAAAGTCCTATTTACTATTTGAAAACAAAAGGATGTGATTGAGTAAGTTTTTCAAATTCAGACCACACCTCTTCAACAAATGTAATATTAAAACACATACATGTATATCTACACAATAATTTTGTATTTCAAGCCTTGAGGATAAATGTTTATGATTTTTTATTCAATTTTCGCCTTTAGATCATTATATGGTGCTTTTAAGCCGAAAATTGAATGAAGCTACTTCTAGTTTTGGAACTTTTGTGTTCTGTAAAAAAAAATTCTGGTACCTGACAGAAAGTTTTAACTGCTGGATAACAGAAGCATAAGGTATGTTACTTGTTACAAAATAGACTGTTTTGTCTTCAAGTTCTTCACAAGCATAAGGCATTGTTAGAAAAGCAAAATTGGGAGCATTTTGCAAAAAACGTTTTCCTGGGAATTTTCGATTACATAGGAATAGACTCGTCGAGCAGAATTTGATTAAGCTCGAGCGATTGTAAGACGTCAGTTTTGCTCAACCCTCTCTTTTGTTCTTACAGACTCAAACGTATACTGCAACTGTATTACATCAAAATCATTTTAGCTTTGTAGATATAATGTGATATGTGCCATGAGATACGAAAACTACTATTTGCTCCAGCAGTTACAAAGTAAAAGTTCTGAAACATTCGCTTTCCTGCTGCAAGTCTATAAAAAATCGTATACAAACAACGACCAGAAGTAAAGAAAATCATTCTTAATCACATTGCCATCTTACGTCTGCCAATGTATAAGTTATACTGACATTTAAAAAATAGTTTTTCCGCCCTCGGGTGGTTTTGGGAGGCTGGTACTTTCTCGGGCGAAAAAGTAGTTTTCCGGAACTCGTTCGAAAAGTCTCCTTTACGAACCTCGTTACGTCCCTCGCCTTTGGCTCGGGCCGCAAACCTCTCGGTTCGCAAACAGAGACTTTTCAAACTCGTAGGAAAACTACTATTTCC